AAAGTGCTGGAATTACAAGTGTAAGCCTGTGTGCCCTACCACCTGGTAGACTCATTAGTTTTGTGAAGGCAGTTTTGTTTTGGGGGAGGGCTATTATCATTTAAACTATAAATTAGCTGGGCACGGTGGCTCACACCTGTAATACCAGCACTTTGGGAGGCCAAGGCAGGCAGATCACCTGAGGTTGGGAGGCCGAGACCAGCCTGACCAACATGGAGAAACCCAGTCTCTACTAAAAATGCAAAATTAGCCAGGTGTGATGGCTCATGCCTGTAATCCCAGCTACTTGGGAGGCTGAGGCAGGAGAATTACTTAAACTCGGGAGGTGGAGGTTTCGGTGAGCAGAGATCATGCCATTGCACTCCAGCCTGGGCAACAAGAGCAAAATTCCATCTCAAAAAATAATAATAAATAAATAACATAAACTATAAATTAAATTTCTCCCAAAGTTAGGTTGGCTCAAGTCCGGGAATGACCAAGGGCATTTTGGAGGTTAGAGGCAAGATGACTGTTGGTTACATCAGAACTCTCTCAGAGTCATAACTTTCTGTTACAATTTTTGCAAAGATGGTTTCAATGGTATTTGGAGTCCCCATAAATCTCTTGGCCAGTGGCCGAAATGTTAAGAAAAATATCTTGTTACTCCTAGAACATTCCCATGCCTTGGGAGTCGCCCCAAGCTAAACCATCAGAAGGGGCAGGTGAATTACAGAACCTGCTCTTCAGGCATCTTCAGGTCTACTGTCTGATTCTGGTTTACAATCCTTCGGGAACACCTTGGTTTTTCTCCCAATAAAATGGAGATGTGCTGGGTGCCTCTCCTCCAGGCCCCTGCAGTGACTGGTACCAGCTAGCATACCATGATGGTCTGTTCACATCTCTTTCCTTGCATACATTGGGATTCCTGAGGTCAGGGACTATCACTTTCACTGTAGTTTCCAAACTTCTGGCGCGTAACAGTGAATGCATGAACGAATACACAAACGCACATAGCACAGTCAACTGACTAGTCGTTTCCTAGACTTGACTGGCTTTCGAGAGCAAATGATTCCATATTCAGGGATTTTGAAGCTGGGCATGGTGGCACATGCCTGTATTTGTAGCTACTTGCAAAGCTGAGGCAGGAGGATCCTCTGAGCTCAGGAGTTTGATACTAGCCTGAGCAACGTAGTGAGACTCGGTATCTATAAAAACAAAATTCAGGGATTCTGCAAGCCTATTATTAAATTGTCAGTAACTTGAAATTGACTATGGTAGAAATATTTACACACAGAAATTGGCAACTGCTACAGATTAGGACTTCCTCCCCTCCTGCCCTTTTCAGAGAACTTGTTGACCAGCTCACCACCGGCTACCACTTACTACATCAGGCAGTTTTAAGCACCTTCCGTATATGAATCTGCATTTAACCCTCACATTACATATATGAATCTGCATTTAACCTTCATAATCACTTTACATTTATGAATCACCTTACATATACGAATCTGCATTTAACCCTCACAATGTTATTGCCACTTTACAGTTGGGGAAACTGAGGATGAGAGAGGTTAACTTGCCCAAGTATGGTTCCATAGCCCTCTGTGACAGGAAGGTGGGAAGGCCAACTGAAGACCATCCTGGCCATCTTTGGGCTCAGCTGCCCTTTGTGGCTTCACAAGGACCAGGTATATGAATTGTGGCCACTACTTTTAATCAGCTTCTCCCGGAGGAGGTCCTCTGGGAGAAAAGATGCAGTTGCCTGGTGACTCAAGTGTTTCTCTGTCCTCCAAAAGTCACGCTGTGTTATGGGGGGGGATGAAGCTCACCCCCCACAGGGTGCCCCTCTTCCAGGGCTCTAGACAACAAATCCATACAAAGCTGCAGACCTCATTCTTGCTTCTTGCTCCGTTGATGCCTGCAGAGCCATTGGTAGGTTTGAATGAAAGCCACGACATCCTAGAACAGGCAGCGACTGGCTTTGTGTGGAGGGCGCCCTGCGGGTGTGTGCAGCATTGCCAGGTGAGGGCAAAGCCTAGGCAGATGGTAGGTGCCACTGCAGGGGCCCACATGGAGACATCTATCCACCCTGAATTTGGCTTTGCTGTATCCCTTCAGGACCACAATTGAGGACAGTCCTGGACTTCCTGAAGCTCAGCTTTAGAGACGACACAGTCTCTCAGGGCCTCATTCTAGTTTGGACATTCCGTATCTCTGTGGGCTCCATCACGTCAGCCCTTGTTTACCCATCTGCCTTGTTACTGCCCATGTGTCTGTCTCCTCTTCCCACCAGGAGCTCCTCAACGAAGGTGGCATCTTATTCCTGGCTGTGGCTCCAGGACCCAGCCAAAGCCTCGAACATAGTAGGTGCGTAATAAATGTGCAATGAATAAATGATCGAACAAATGCATAAATTGTGCCTTGGTTTTTTCCTCCTTCCTGCTGCTCCAGGGATCTCCTGATGACTTCTCCAAGCCCTGCGATTAGGAATAAATCCTTCTTTGTCATCCTACGCAAAACTTCCTCCCTCCCAGCTCCCTGCTGGCTGGCAACGGTGGCTTGTTTGGCTGTGGACATAGGAGAAGGGATGAGGACTCTGAGAAGGCCTCCCTGAGGATGTGAGTTTCCACTGAGGTCGGAAGAGGGAGTGGAAGGGAGTTTCCGGCAAAAGGAACAGGTGCAAGTGCTTGCCTAGGAGCTAAGAGTGGCCACTGGGTCAGGGTAGACAGCCTGGTAGGACAGATACCACCAGCTTCCTCGAGAGTACCCAAGAGGCAGAGTGAAGCCATGTGCCCCACTCCTTGCCTCAGGGCTTTTGTCCCCAACCCTACTATCTCCAACTCTGGGAGCAACTGTGCCAAGAAGGAGGGGCTGATGTCCAGAGAATGCCACTTCCTATCCCCCCAGCAGACAGCTCCATCATTTAATCCTTGACTAGTTTAATATAAAAAAATTCCAGGAACGGACATTTTAAGTTGGAATGAAATTGCTCCTAGCAGCTGTATGTAATTGGTTGGCCCAGAGGTTCAGAATTCCCAGGGGTGTTGAGGATCCTTTTCCTGATCGCAGAGGCCTGCCTGTGTTTCCAGAATCCTTCTAACCCGAAATGGAGCCCCTAGGTCAGCTGTCCAGCCGGCTCAGACCAGTCCACCCTGATCGGGTCTTGCACTGCCCTCTGGAGAGTGCTTTTAAGTGCAGATTGCAGATGCTGCCTTAGCTCTATGAATGCAGACAGGCAGTGTAAGGGGAAGCTGGATTTTCTATTTGTTTTAGAGACGGGGTCTTGCTCTGTTGCCTGGGCTGGAGTGCAATGGTGCAATCATAGCTCACTGCAGCCTCTAACTCCTGGGCTCAAGCTATCCTTCTGCCTCAGCCTCTCAAGTAGATGGGACTTCAGGCACACACTATCGTGACCAGCTGATTTTTAAAAAGTTTTAAGTTTTGGTAAAGATGGGGTCTTGCTATGTTGCCCAGGCTGGTCTCAAACTCCTGGGCTCAATCCTCCTGCCTCAGCCTCCCAAAGTGGTGAGATTACAGACATGAGCCACTGCACCTGGCCAGAGCTGGATTTGCAGCCAGGAAGGGACTGATTCTGCTGCTCTAGGAAGTTTTGGGACCAACCCCCATCCTCTACCTCGTGGCTCTGAAAGTCACCCCCCACCCCTGGAAAGGGCTGGGACCCTGGCTTGAGCCTGCAGTGTGCAGGAATGAACAGCAGTTCTCAGCTGCTCCCTTCTCAGCAGCCTGTGAAACTGAAAAAGGTGGGTCCACCTAAATCCCCTCTGTGGGCACTGAAAAACTCCTGCCCATACCCTGTCTCCCTTCCCCCCAACATTTATCATGGAGCCTAGCGTTCAGAACAGACCTGATACCTGATGGTCATTGACAGTGGTGTCGCTAAGCACTGTAGAGCCTTCAGAACAGCAGAGCCTTGACCTTGACGTTCTGCCCTGTCTGTTGTGTGCCTTTCCAGAGGACAAGATTCCATAGTGCCAACCAGCCTCTGTGACCTTGTGCTGTGTCCATGCCAGGCCCTTTGGTGGACATCTTCTTAACTTATCCTTATTTTAAGGAGGAGGAATCATGTTAGACAGGCAACAACAGTATTGGCCCCGGTCACCTGACCTGGATGGAGAGCCAACCCCTTAAGCCTTCTTAACCCAGGACTTCCCTAGCGGGCATGGGGACCACTGGCATTGCCTTCTCTCTAGCAGTTTGCCCCAAATGCAGCCTCCTGGGCCCGCTTCTGCTGCTGTTGTTGTTGTTTTGGTGGTGGGGAGAGACAGTCTTGCTCTGTTGCCCAGGCTGGAGTGCAGTGGTGAGACTGCAGCTCACAGAAACCTCCATCTCCCAGGTGCAAGCGATTCTCCTGCCTCAGCCTCCAGAGTAGCTGGGATTACAGGCATGTGGCACCGCACCAGACTAATTTTTGAGTTTTTAGTAGAGACTGGGTTTCACCATGTTGGCCAGGTTGGTCTTGAACTCCTGAGCTCAAGTGATCCTACCGGCTTGGCCTCCCAAAGTGCTGGGATTACAGGCGTGAGCCACCGCGCGCAGCCCGCTCCTGCAGTTTGAGGTGCACTTCAGCCACTGGGCTATGCAGGGCCCCCACGGGCCACCACGTGGATATGTTCACCTCAGAAGGTTGCTGGGGCTTTCCTGGAATAAACCAAAGCGCATGGTTTGCCTTCAAATAGGATTACTATTACTGCTGTTCTCCATAGAGCTAATTCCTGCTCTCTGACCTCCTAGACTGTCTCAGTGGAGTTTTCCTCCTAAGTCTGGAGGATGTGAGGTGGGATGAGTTGGGGGTGGGCATGGCACCCCCAGGGGTCCCACCCCTCCTACCCACGCCCCCAACTCTGCTCACACCTGCTTCCTCCCAGATCCAGCAGGGATGAGGAATGGGCGAGGCACGTGGCCGCTGCTGCACTGACTGAGAACTCAAGGCGGTGGGCTCCGGGGTCCCCCTCCCGGCGGTTTCCGGGCCCGGGCGGGGCGCTCCCCTTGCCTCGCAGTGAGCGAAACCGGCGTGCGCTAGGACCGCGCCGCGCCGCCCTTAGCCGTTATATATAAGGCCGCGCTCCGGCCCCACGCGGAACCCGTGGCTCCAAGCCTTCCCCGGCGTTCCGACCCGAAGCCGGACCCGAGGCCAGCCCCGAGGCCAGTCCGGCCGCAGCGCAGCCGAGGCCAGCGCGGGGCCTGCGAGGGACGGGCGCCCGGGGCCCCCGCCGCGGGCACCATGGGCGCTGCCCACTCCGCGTCCGAGGAGGTGCGGGAGCTCGAGGGCAAGACCGGCTGTGAGTACCCGCGGGGGCGGCGCAGGGACTTGGACGGGACCTCCGAACGGCCACTGCTGGGGGCCCCGGCCCGCCGCCGCGCTGTGTGACCTTGGGCCAGTGGCAGGCCCTCTCTGCGCCTCAGTCTCCTTCTCTTTCAAATGGGTCCCCGCCGGCCACTTCGCCGGCTGCGACGAGGAGCTCCGCTGCGAAGCTCAGTGCTGCAGCCGCTCAGCCTCCGACTGGCCCGGGAACTCCGTGGCTGGGGGACTGCGGACCGGGGAGGGAGCAGGGCCCGGGCTTCCCAAACGCAGGGCAGGTGCCTCGGGCCGGGCTGGCGAGCCCCTCCGGCAGCCCGGCTGGGGCGCGCGCGCCGCACCTGAGAATCTTTTGCATTCGCGAGCGTAGGGGCGGAAAGTTTTGAAGTTGGCGGACCCGGGTGGAAGCCGGGCTCCGACGCTCCCCAGCAGGGTGACCTTAGGCGGGAGAGTCGGTTCTCCGCGCCTGCCTTTGTCCTGGCATCTGTAAAATGGGTTCAGACGGCCTCACCCCCATGGGTGGCTGGAGGGCTTAAGCGAGGCAGCGGCCGCAGAGCACTTTTCCCGGAGCCCGGCGTCCTCCCCTGGGTTCGCTGGGTCTCCCCGGACCTGCAAAGGCTGCGCGCCCCGCATTGGCCTGGGGCGGGGCGCCCTGGGAGGCCGGGACAAGTTGCCCGCAGGGAAATGGCGGAGAAAGCGCTTGTCCGCCCGAGTTCAGCTGGGCTGGGGACTTAGCCTTGGGTCCTGACTTCGGCGTGGCGGGTTCTGCCACTGGTGGTGGAGACCGTGGCGGTGTGTGGCGGGGAGGCGGTCAGGTGTATGAGCAAACCGGCTTTAGCGAGGGACAGACTGGCTGTGAATCCTGCCAGCTCCGCTTCCTGGCTGTGTGACCTTGGGCTAGTCACTTTACCTCTCTGATTCTCAGCTTTCCTTCTCTGTGTTACAGAGTTCTCCTAGTACCTGGTGGACGCTCAGGGAATGGGAGCTGCAGATATTTTCGGAAAGAGGTAGCTCCTGGCACCTGCTTAAGGTGCAGAGAACCAGCGTCTAATATTGACCACCAAGAGAGGGTGGCCCCACCGTTTGCGTGTCAGCTGAAAAGCAACCCCTCTTGACTCCCAATCTAAATACCCCTTTCCAGGAGAATGGGAGGAGAATTGCAGAAAACCATTCATAACTTGTGTGTGTGTGCCCACACTTACACATCTATATCTGTATCTCTCTCCTGTGTAGAAATGTAGAATTATATACAACTAGGGAGGTAAAAGGTGTGGCGGGTAGCATATCTAATATGGTACCTTTTTTTTTTTTTTTTTTTAAATGATCCTTTGAGCTGCGGCTGCAAAGTAAAAAAATAGAAAATGTAAACGGGAAAATTCGGGTACACATTGGTAATTGCTATATTTACAGACGGGAAGAACCCACCAGAAAGTACAAATGGATACTTGGTGGGGGCTGTGGGTTGGGGGTGGGGAGTGGAAGGGATGAAGGGAGAGTGAGCTTTTTCTCTGTAAACTTCTAAGTTCATTTTGAACTATGTTGAATATTTTACTTAAGTTTTATGCGCTTCAATCTGAAGATTTATGAGAGAGAAAGGAGGGATTCCTCTAGCTCTTACTTGCCTAGGTCTCCTGGTTTATTATTTCTCAAGTGCCCTCTTCCAGCCTCCCACTGCTTTGAATCTGGATGGGTGTCGATGGGTGTTCTCCGTGGTGGGGATCCCCGCTGGAAGGTTGGGCTCTCTGGCAGTCCACCGGGGCACTTGAGAATTCCGCCTGGTTGTGGGTTTGATGGGGAGGAGGGGCTGCAGAGCATGCTGGGAGACTTGTCAGTTTCCTGGGTCCAGCCTCCCACTGGGATGACAGATGCTGTGTTCCTGCTCTGTAACCTTTCTAGATGTAGCTGCAGCGGCTTCCCTTCTTGTTGCCCAGAGCTCAGATTTCATAATCCAAAGGGAGATGGAGAGGGTGGGAGAGGAGGTTCTGAGGTTAGACCAGACTAGGTAGGTGGAACTTCAGGTAGGTGGAAAGTTGCCCTCAGTCCTCTGAAAGGGACTGCATAATCTGGTCACTCTTACCCACTTAGCAAATATTTATAGAGCACGGGCTGGGGATTTAGAGATGGCCCAGAGAGGCTGCTGTTCCTGAAGGGGGACACACAGTTTAAAAAAAAAAAAACACCCCATAGGTGTTAAAACTGTGAATGAGGCATAGCGGGGTGGCATGAGAATGGAGCTTTAGGGTGGATCTGGAGGACCTCCCTGAGGAGGTGATAATAGAACAGAAATCCAAGTAAGGAGGAGCCAGGGGTCTGCAAATCAGTGGAAAGGACATCTCAGGCTCAGGGGACAGCAAATGTGGAGGCCCTGTGGCAGGGACGAGCAGGCAACAGTAAATGAGAATACAGGACATGAGGACACAGCTGTTGCCAGGGCTTAGGCTGTGGCAGGAGCCTGATTTCAGGGGCCTTGTCAGGTACCTTAGGCATGTCACGCTCTCAGAGCCTCAGTTTCATCTACTATAAAATGGGCATAGTCATAGTACCTTCCTTGAAGTTGTTGGGAAGGATTAAGTGAGTTAATACACGGGAAGGTGTTAGACTAAACACACGTCCGTGTTTGTTATTGACCATGCTTCAAACAGTTTTGTATGTTGTGGTCACTCCGAGCCATACTGAGAGTTAAGTCTGGGTCCCACCCCTCCCAGTTACATGACCCTGGGCTAGTCATTTTCTCTCTCTGAGCCTCAGTACCCTCACCTGGATCCTGAAGGTGTTGTGTGCATTCAGTAAGGTTGCGTAGGTATGTATGTGAGGCTATTTGGCTTGGCATGGGAACGTCAGCTCCCAGAGACCCAGTGGGTCAGGCAGGGTCCTTTCTTCAAAGCTTTTCCCTTGGGAATCTTCCCCGAGAAAAACGGAGAAGAGCCTCCGGGTAAGGTGGCCAGAGGACAGGCTGAGCCTGCAGGGCTGCCGACTCTCCCGGCCTCCCTGAGGATCAAGATGACCCCTGACTTCCTGGGGAGGAATCGGCTTGATCCCTTTCTGAGAACACCATCCGGAAAGGACCAGAATATCAGGCTGAGGATAGTGATAATGAACGTCATTCCCCGAGCACCTGCTGAGCATCAGGCTCCATGCTGCAGCTCTTCACATGACACTCTAGAGTAATGATCCCCCAGGAAGGTAGTGTTAGGGCCATTTTACAGATGAGGAAACTGAGGCTCAGAGAGGTAAACCAGCTTGCCTGCTGCCTCACAGCTGCTAAATGGAGGAATTGGAGATCACAGGATGCCCAAGTCTACTTTCGTTTTTCTACTAAATTTTTATTTTTTGAGATAGGGTCTTGCTCTGTCACCCAGGCTGGAGTACAGGGGGGGCATGATTAAGCTCACCACAACCTTGAACTCCTGGGCTCCAGCAATCCTCCCCACTTTAGCCTTCCCAGTAGCTACAACTACAAGTGTGTGCCACCACACCAGCTCATCTTAAATTTTTTGGCAGACACAGGGGTCTTGCCACATTGACCAGGCTAGCCTCACATTCCTGGCCTCAAGCAGTCCTCCCACTTCAGCCTCCTGAAAGTGCTGGAATTACAGGAATGAGCCACCATGCCCGGCCCCAAAGCCGCTTTCTTACTGCCAGCATGCTTTCACTGTGTGTCGCTGCCACTTGAATTTCTAGGAACCAGCAAGGAGTAGAAAAAGACTGCCCATATCTTTTCTCACCTTCAGGCCTTTGCACAAGCTGTTCCTCTGTCTGGAGCACTGTTTTCATTTGATGCGCACAATTAGGGGGTTACATATGGGAACCTTTCTCCACCCAGGGTAGGATCTCAAACCTTTCCTCTTAACCCTGTCTTTTTTTTTTTTTTTTGAGGTGCAGTCTCATCCTGTCACACAGGCTGGAGTGCAATGGTGTGATCTCAGCTCATTGAAACCTCTGTCTCCTAGTTCAAGCGACTCTCCTGCCTTATCCTCCCGAGTAACTGGGATTACAGGCACCCGCCACCATGCCTGGCTAATTTTTGTATTTTTAGTAGATACGGGTTTCATTATGTTGGCTAGGCTGGTCTCGAACTCCTGACCTTAATGTGATCCACCTGCCTTTGCCTCCCAAAGTGCTGGGATTACAGGCGTGAGCCACTGCGCACAGCCCTGACCGTCTCTCTCTATGAAGCAAATGCTCATTATTGTTCAGGGGTCGGCTTAGCTGCTGCTCCCATCCAGAAAGCCATCTCTCCATCCAGCCTTTAACAGTTAAACGCCCATCCTCGGGGCTCTTGGAGCTCCTTCCTTCCCTTCCACAATAACGGGCATCACACTGTGTTATACTTGTCAGTTCTGTCACTTGCTACCCCCTCGAAACTTGGAGCTCCCTAGAGCAGAAAGAATGTGCCTTGTTCACCTTTGCATGCAGTTGGTGGTTCACGGTGAAAACACAAGAGGCTCACGTTAAAGGGGTGCAGTGCCCGGGGACTTTAAAACCCAAGGTGTATTGTTCAGAACAGGCAGCTGGTGGAAAACCCAGTGCTACCCTCACCAGCTGTCCTCAGCCACCAGCCCTCCCAGCATCTCTGGTTCCCTCCCTACACGATGAACCCTCTTGGCATCAGCACCGAGCCAGCTTCACCAAAAATATGCCTGAGCAGCAGCTCGCCCACACAGGGCATTGTCAGGTCTGCATGCCCACCTTCCTTCTCGTTGCCTGTTAGAGTCTCATTGATTGATTTCAACCAGAACTGAGTATTCCCAAGGCATCTTTTCTGAGCCAAGAAAGCTCACACCTGGATGATTAAGATTCATAGGAAAAGCCTGATGGAAGGTGTCTCGGGTGTGTTTGAGCTCACCACCTTCCCCACGCACCCTCGGTGCCAGGAGCCGAGTGGTGCCTAGCGTGTGGACCAAGGTGCAAAATGGGTCCTGACTGAGAGAAAGGCTCCTTGGGAATCATTCACGTGAGTCAGTTCCCCTTCGCCACCTTGAG